TGCAGTCCAACGAGAGCTCGAAAGTGAACATTGAATTTTTCATTGAAGCCCCTTCTCAAGCCCCCCTTGAAGCCCCCTTGAGACGCCCCTTCCGGCTCGGGTTCCGCGCGCTGCCTTTACTTCGCCTTACTCGAGGCTTGCGAGCGGCCGCCGCACACTTGTCGTCTTAGGTTCCGGCCCGGGTGCAGACACTGGGTCTTCGTCTGCCTGGCGCTTGGCTGTCGCTGAGGTTGGAAAACATGCTTCTGTCCGGGCATCTGCGTGGTGCGGGACACCGACACGGTGTGTGCGCCCTCCTCAGGCTATGCTGGTCGTTGTTGTGAAGCCCCCGCCTGTCGCTCAGGCAAACATGGCGCATCACTTGGGACACATTGCGTTCTTTTGTTTGTGCACGCGTCGCCTGTTGTTGCCAAGTACCTTCTGCTGCACTGTCGAGGTTGACAAGGAACGCGGCGACCCCCTTCGGCGCGCTGCCCTTACTTCGCCTTACTCCAGGCTTCAGAGCGGCCGCCGCTCGCTTGTCCACTTAGGTTCCGGCGTGGGTTCGGCGCGCGGCCCTTACTTCGCCTGCCGCCGCTCACTTGTCGAGTAGTCTGCGCTGACCATTCTTCTTGCAGAGCGCGGCCCCTCGCTCCGGCGCGGTCGCCCCGGTCTGCTAGATGTTCATCAGGCGCAGCGTTTTGCTGTCCTTGCTGTCTGTCCGGGGCTGGACTGCACAGAGCGAGCCTGGCAAGTCCTGCTTGGCAGAAAAAATTGGTCTCTCGTGTCCGCTGCTGCTGCTCGCGGGTTCTGCGCGGTCCGCGTCCGCCTGCCTGGGTCGGCGATCTCTGGCAGGGCAACGTGACACAACTTCTTGGCCCCCGCAGTCCTAGGTCTAGTGTCTCTTTCCTCTGTCTTTTGCGATGCCGGCTTCGACTGCGGCTGCTGCCGGCTGCGCCGACATTCGGAACAGTCTCCGCAGCGCTGATTCGTCGTCCAGACCCGGCGCCTCTCCTGCAGAGGGCCTCACAAGCCAACAAAAGCAAGCGCTCCGCAACTGGTGCCGCGCTGCGGCCGCCAGCGCCGCCCAGGCTTGGGAAGAGTTCCGGCCAGGGAGTGGGCTCCTTTACCTCGAGGCGAACGTCCGCCTGCTGCCGGTGGAGTTTCAAAACGCATTTGGCTTGGCGACGCCCGCGGCGGCCGATCTCCCGGACTTTCGGACCGCGGTGCTGGCAGCCCTTCAAACGGCTCTCGACTGGTACGAGCATGTGGTGCCGGCCTGAGACCGCTTGTCCGGTACATAGACTGCTTCTTCTACTCGTCAGTTGCTCTAGTCACTAGTCCGCCCGCTGCGTCTTCCCGGATCAGGTGCCGCCTTCTCCCACACGCTCCTTCGCCGCGCACGCTTCCTTCGCAGGCCCCGGCTCCACGTCGCTTGCATGTTCGCGCCGCCATGCTGACTTGCGCGCTGCAGGTCCTTTTGACGTGTCCGACACTGACTGCTCTGCTGACTCCGAGGGCGCCGCAGAGCGTTGACCCGCCGGGTGCGTGTGCTTCAGAACCTGGATGATGCAGCGAGTGCTCTGCACTTTCAATCCTCTGGCTGGAGGGGCGTCGTCTGAGTGAGCTTGAGAGTCTGCCCTCATAAACCCACTCTTCCGTGCAGTGATACAGAAACACACCAGCCTGCCGTCACAGCCGAAGACTGTGTTCTTGTGCGTCCTGTCATACACAACCAGCAGCGGCCGCGTCTGCCCAGCTGCTCGAGATATGTCTTTGTAGTGATTGTAGTGGCCTCACGAGTCCGTGCCGCAGTCATGTCGCCCAAGCCTCGGCAGCAAATCCCGTCCTCGGAGCAGCTTCTTCCGCAGCTCGGAGATCGTGTGCTGCGCTTTCAGCGCCATTGGCTGGATTTGGTGCTGGCGGGCACGAAGACTGCGGAAATTCGGCGTGATCGCACTAGCTCGGGATGTGCGTGGATGGGCTGCAGCGGTCGTGTTTGGGGTCGCATTCACATTGGGGACGCTGCGCGGCTCTCATCCCTGGAGGAGCTTCGTGCCACGCATGGTCAACATCGCGTGGAAGCCACCGAGCTGCCCTACGGAGCGCGAACGTACCTCTGGCCTCTGTCTGGACTTTACATTCTGCCCGAGCCTGTCCCGTTCTACAATCGCCCTGGACCTGTCACGTGGCTACCCTTTGTGCCTCCACTGCAGGATGTGCACGCTGGGTCCGGACCTGCTGCTGCTGGCCGTTGTCAGTCCGAAGCTGCCTCCGCCCCCAGCGAGCCCCGCCGTCTCCGATCCCGCTCGGCGCCTGCTCCTCGTCAATTTCCGCGCGGGGGCTCCTGTATGACTTGACGAGAACGGTAGGTCGAGTCCGCGCAGTGACAGCGCTGCTTCTGCTGGAAAAAGGCCGCCTCGCTGTTGTCTGCCTGGTATCTTCGAGTTCGTGACCTCATCCTGGACCGCATTTGAGTTCTGCGCTAGCCCAATCAACGTTGTCGCCCGTGCCGTCGTGCCTGTGCGTCCCCTCGGCTCCAGGGATTCTTCTTGCAGGCTCTGAACTACAGTAACTAGAGTCGTGCCGACGTGCTGCTATATAGAGCCTCGAGCTGCCATGCCGTCGCTGACGTCTGTGCTTGCCCCCCAGCATTAGCCGCATGCTTTCTGTGCCGCCTGCCTCTGCATGTGGTCTGGATACGAAGGTCAGCACTCGGTAAAAACCTCGCGGACGATGTTTTCGTCCTCAAGACGCACTTGCTGGCTGCGGTCGTCTGGCTCCTGTACTTTGGTGTGGGCCCTTATATGTGTTCTGACTGGTGCGACTTGCAGGTTTCTTTGCGCGATCTGTTTCATCTTCGCCGGGCACTTCGTGGCTGCGGACTCTTTGCTTCTTGCCCAGTCTAAGGCGCTAGATGCCTGTAGCGTCAGCGAGAGGAGAGCGGCCATGACTGTCACGCTGTGCAGGATGCAGTCGTGCCCGAGCTGCTGAACTTCGAGCCTTCTCGTTCCTCTCCTCGGTCGGGAGCCTGGCCTCTTGGGACTTTTTCTCGTCTTGGCCCACTGTGGGGAACCACGTTCCGCTTGCTGGGCCTGTTGCATCTGGCTTCAGCTTTGTGTCTTCTGCAGTCTTGTTTGCGCCTCGCTTCCTTCGACCTTGCGCGCTCTCGCGTTCTGCTCATGGTGCTCTGCATGAGCGACGTTATGACGATGACCTCCGCGGACCGCCGCACTTGTTGGCTGGCAGGCCCGCTGCACATACTGAGTAATTAGTGAATAATTAGTGTTCTCAACCGTACTTGTCGTGCGCGTCCGCCAGCAGGAGTCGCTGCCCGGCGCGTCGAGCGCAGATTGGAGTACGACCTCCAGGACCGCCTCATGCATCTTGGCATCGCCGAGGCAAGAGCTGTGAACTCCGTCTTCTACCTCCGGCACCTTCTCCTGCTGCCTCCGCTTCGATGGGGGCAACACGGTGTCGTGGCGGAGTTGATCGTTCCTCGGCTTCTGTGAGCGTGCTTCTGCACCTGTGCGTCTCTGCTGCCCAGCTGTGTCTTGCGTGCTGCCCCTTTAGGCGTCCTTCCTGGTGCACCCGCTCGTGGCGCCCACGCCGGCCCCGGCCTTCGATCCCATCGGCTTGCCCGACACACATGCGCGCAGCCTGCTGCCACCGCCTAATCCTCTGCCGGACGAGCTTGTGGTCTTGTGGGTCGAGGCTCGGCTCGCAGGATTGAGATGTCTCTTGCCTGCGCCCTTCACGCCAGGTGCGCAACGTGCGCGAGACCAACGCGGCTCTGCGCAGCCGTTTGGTTGAGGAATGGCGTCGGCTCGCCTCACTGCAAAACCGTGAGGGTGCATTCTTGTGGGAGCTGGGCTGCCTTTCGGAGGCCTGGTGACTCGTGCCTCGTCCGCGCGGCAAAATGTGTCGTCGACTGCTGCTGTCGCGGCCGCCTTCCTGCATGCTTGCACTGTCTGTCTTCTTGACCGATGTGTTTGTCGCGCTGCCTGTGTCTTTGGTCGCCTCCGGCTGCAGGCCTTGGCTTCGCATTTCACGTGACTCGTTCTGTACCAAGGTCGCTCGCTCTCCGAGCCGCGTGGCGCTGGCCTGAGATGCTTCGCATGGCGAGTTGTGCATCTGCTCCGTGACGTCGCGGGAAGAAAAAAAAGCAAGCACTCCTTCTTTCCGACACAGTTCACCGCAGCAGGCGCACGCAGAAGCTGGACTCTAGACTCTCTTGGAAATTCTGCTAGCAGCGGGTCGCGGTCGCTACCAGCTACCAGGTCTGCATGGGCTGCGTAGCTTCCCTTCGCCTCAAGCACCTTTGCCTTTGCGGTTGTATCTTGTCCCGGAAACATGGCTTCTCTTGAGGATCTTTTCCAACCTCTGCAGGCAGACGGTCTCGGTTTGCTTGCAGCAGCTTTGGAGCGCTCCTCTCACCGAGCAGCTGCAGCGTCACTGGCGCGAGAACTGCTGTTGGCAGCTGGTCTTATTGCCCCAACGATTACCGAGCTGCAAATCGAGAACGTTTTGGACAAACTCGCCACGGTGCGTCCCCATCTCTTCGCTCCGCGGGCTGCGCAGGCGGGGCTTCGCCGCGTCCCGTGTCTGGCATCGGCTTTTGCTGTCTGCGGCGGCGCCCTTCTCGATTTGGGCTTCGTGCTTGGCCACTGCCTGACTCTCCGCGCTGGCCTGCAGTTGGTGGAGATTCAGCAGTGTCAGTGCGAGCACTGCGACGCTCTGCACTCTGGTTGCTGGCAGCTCGCATGCAGCGGCTGCCTGTTCCCCGCGTGCTGTCTGAGCAACACCGACCCCTTCCTGGTGCAGAATCTTTCGCACTGTTCGCCTGCGCGTGGTGGCCTCTCCTGCGTGGACGTGGAGGTTCTGCGCCTTTGCAGCAGCCTCGTTCTGCGCCTTCACGGGTCCTTTGCGGGTATTATTCACGTGCTACGAGACATGTCGAGCACTCCTCTAGCGCTGGGTCTTCGCATGGAGCTCTTTCACTCTTGGCTGCTCTGGCGAACGATGAAATTGCTGGCTGCAGATGACGTTCCCGCGGGTCTTCTCGGTGTCGGCTTTGCTGTCTCTCATCACCGTCGTCAACATCAACTCGAGGGCTTGCGCGCCGTTCAGCCACTTTTGCAGGACTACTTCTTGAACTTGTACTCTCGACAGCACAGCTGTGATGTCTGCGCTCAGACATCCAGTGTCGGTCTCGACGTGAAGGTGGGCTTTTCCTCTGCGCTGTGTGCTTGCACCGATGGGGGTGAGCGCAGATACCCGTTGGTGAACTTGTCGGTTTCCTTTGGCTGCGTGGCTCGTCCAGCTGTGCGGTCTCGCTTCTGTGCAGCGCATCGTCCCGTGCAACGCGCCGCGGATCCATGTGACACTGCAGTACCGCCACTGCTGTGTCCTGGTGAGCATGCTATGGTGTATGTGGAGGCTGACCCTATCTGGTCCCATTCTTGCGATCGTTGTGCAGCGGCCTTGGTTCAGCCCGCGCCGCATTGGACTTGTTCGCAAGGGTGTGACTTCGACATGTGCCCAGACTGCGTCAACTCGGCTACCCGCGTCCCTGAAAGCTCTCAAGCCCCTGCAGCAGCTGCGGCGGTGGGAGTCGACGACGAAGATGTGAATCCTTGCGGCATTGTCAAGGAAATGCCTGCTAGCAAGTTTCGTCGTCACGGTGGACTGATGACGGCTATGTTAGGTTGTGGAACAGTTGCAGCAGTTGAAACGGTTGCTGGTCGTGAGAGCGCCACCCAGTGTACCGGGCTTTTGAGTCGGATTGCGTCTCATCGCAGCCTACGCTTTGTCGTCTATGACAATGCATGCATGCTCAGTCACTTCATTCGACGTCGCGCGCGGCGACGGGGTGCCTCCGGTACGCTTGTGCAGTTGGCGGGGCTGCGCTTCGTCCTGGACCGGTTCCATGCCAGTAACCACCGAGCTTGCCGAAATCCATTGCACCGCTTGTACCAGCCCGAGGTTGAGATTGGTCAGTACGCGGAGTTGCAGCACCTCAACGCGGCCTGGAATGAGTCCTGGAACAGCTGGATCGACAGAATGGTGCCCCAGGTGTGCCACATGGACGCTGTGGTGCTGGAAGTTTTTGTCCTCCTCGTGGCCGAACTGTGGAACGAGTGCATCGTGCGCCCATCCCGTGCCGTGGCTCCACGCGCTCATGGACCCCTTAGGAGGGAAGGGCTCTTGCGGCGTACCCGGCCACGCGTCATCCAGGCGTCCGCCGAGCGCTCTGACTCCGTGCAGGTGATCGACGTGGACTGATGCCAGTCTGCCGTCGACGCAGTTTACATTTGACGGCAGCACCCCCGCATCTTCTTCCGACCTCAGGCAAAACGGACACAGCTGCAGCACTCTTTCTCTTCTGCCTGCGTTTGCTTGTCGTCGACCTTCTCACTTGTCTGCAGATGCTGATGTGCTTCTTCTCGCGCCTCAGCCGTTTGCCGCCCGGTGCTGCTTCCCTCTCGTTCCAGATATCTCGCTGCTTTCGCCGCTTGCCATGTCCGTGGAGCAAGTGCGTAAACTACTTCAGGATGAGTCGGTCAGGAACGAGCTCTTCCGCCAACTTGAGGCGGAACCTTTCGCTGCGGATGAAGTTCGGCGTCTCTACCCGCACCTCCATGATCGCTGGCTTCAGATCGGCGCTGCAATTCAGGTTCCTTGGCAGTACGTCATGATCATGGAGCTTGCTCTGGCTGCGGCCCTGTCCCCCACCGCTGTGCTCCTCGCTTTGCCGACGTTGAGGATTTATCCAGTGGTGTGGTGGTTTCTCTTCCATCCTGGTGCCACGAACACCTCCGTGGTCGTTCGACTCTATGCAGACGTCTTGGACTTGCTCGAGATGGATGTGAACAACACTCGCCGTGACATGGCCAAGTCCTGGCAAGAAGAGAATCCTGGTCGCGACGGGCGCAACCCGTTCGGTGGTGAGGTCAGCATGACCAGCGGGTCTGGCTCGCTCGAGGGCGAAGGAAAGCTCATGGCGATGTCGCAGAATCTGGGGCGGTCCGTCAGCTTCATGACCGAAGGGAAGCGACTGCTGAAGTGGCTGCAGAACGAAGGGTCCGTGAATGAATCCATTGTCGTGGAGTTGTGGGAGCGTCCCAGCCCCGGTGCATCGTTTGTGCATCTTCTGCTGCGGCTTTTTCGCACCGTTTCTCCTGTGCTGATCCCGAGGAATGAAGTGGAAGCGAGCCACGGTTCACGCCGACCGCACTTTCACCGTCATGTGTCCTTTTTTCCTCGCTGCTGGTGCCCTGCACGTCGAGGACCCGTTGGACCTCTACGTTCTCAACGACCCTTTGGGCGTACGTGGTCGTCTTGGACTCTTCTATGCTCGTCCTACGTTCAAGCGGGCTGCAGAAGTGGAGCAGGCTGCAGCTTCCATCACGACGGCACGCTTCGGTCTGGAAACTAACATTGCAGGCGTGTTCAAGGCCGTCATGAAAGCGCACGACCCAGTGCACTCGGCGTCACCAGCACATTTCGAGCAGTTCAAGGGCTACCCCTTTCGCATTTACGGCCTGAGCGATGAAGCCAAGCAAGCTTTCCACGGCGTCTTTGACGAGCGCACGAAAGCGCATGAGGAGGCGCATCTTGTTGACATGGGGAAGGCCAAGTTCCACTCCAAAGCGAAGACCAAGTTTCTCCGGCATAGCCTTGTAGTTCACATCTGCGAGCAAGCGCGACTGGGATCCACCCCCCAGGCTTGGGCAGGCGAGCTGCCGGTCGCCGCGCTGCGCTTTGGCCAGCTCCTCTCTGACTACATGGATCGCGTGGATGGCATCTTTGCCAGCTTCGTAACCGACCTGATTGGCCGCCTCGACCTCGCAGCTACAAACCCCGGTGGTCGACCAGGATGCGGTTCTCAAGGCAGAGCTTCCATGCGACAGCAATTGCAGCAGTTGCTGCAGCTCCCCCAGACCTCTTTTCGCGAGTTGGCGCCTGCCACTGCAGTGGTTCTTCTGAAGCTGTGTCGTGCACTGCTCCGCAAGCCCGGGGCATGGCTTGATTCCGCGGCTGTCTTGAAGTCGTCGGACGTCAAGGAGATATTGAACGCCATTCCGTTGGCAGAGCAGCTGCATCATTACGCGCGAGCGGTGCGTTTGCTGAAGTTGTGCAAGCTGGTGGAGATGGGCCTGGGCACGAATGCGCATGGAACCCCACTCATCTTCGCTGTCAAGCGCGTCATGCCCGCTTCGACGGAGCCTGCTTATGTCTACTATGCCAATGTGCTGTCCGCCTTTGGCCTGCGCTTCGGAGGCCACCACTCCGAGTACAGGGCCACGAACCATCTGGGTCCGGACATCGCCAAGCCGCCCGCAGCTCCGGAACTCGCGCTCGACCCCGCCTTGACACAGGAGGAGAGTGCTGCGATTTGCGCGGTCCTCCAGTCGCTGGCCGCACACAGCTCAAACGCGGACTGACTGTGGCATGCACAGCGGTGTACAGTCTAGAGCGCATGTGGTGCTCTTGGCTAGCGTCGCGCCGCAGACAGCTGCACGTGCGACGCTGCCGCACGTCTTGCATGTGTTTTTTGCGCAGCCACATCTCTGGGAGCGCCCGGAAAAGTGACATCGGTGGCTCAGGGGTCACTGCCCCGTGAGGTGGGGCTGCACTTGAACTCTTTCATCTGGCCGTCTTTGGTGAGACAAATATGCTGCGATGCTTGCATGCGCTCTTTGCAGCGTCTTGCTTCCGTGTGTCTGCGACATTGCCCGGTCACCCGAGTAGGTATAACTGCATGTGTGCGGCCGTGTCCTGGCTCAGAGCTCCTGCCTTTGTCCTTCTGCGATGCGAGGCACAAACCTAGGGCCGAATGAGCGCGCGCTTGCGTTGTATTCGTTGGCATCTGGCTTAAGTTCCTTTTGGAGAATTTTCTTGTCCCACCCTCCGTAGAGGTCCGGCCCATTTCTTACTTTGTTTCTTTTTTTTGGTTTTTAAGCCCACAAAAAGCGTTTTCGTGCGGCTGTCTCCTTTTGTACGCGGACAAGCCTTTGCCTAGAAAGACGTTCGGGACAAAAGCTTTTTCGTGTGGCTTTCTCCTTTCACTTTTGTTTTCCTGCTTTTATTCTTGCTTCGCTTTTTGCGCCACACAAATCGTCCGGGTTTCTTTTTTCGAAAGACGTCCGGTTCAGTTTTTATTTTTCGCTTTTTCTCTGTCAAGCCCCCCAAAAGCGCCTTCGTGTGGCTTTCTCCTTTTGTGTGCGGACAAGCCTTTGCTTGAAAAAACGTTAGGTGCTTTTTTCTTCCTGTTTCTCCGTGTTTGCGCCCCCAATCGCGTTTCCGTCTGACTTTCCCCCTTTGTGTGCAGACATGCCTGGCAGGCCAGTTCGCCAAGGATAGGGTTTGTTGGGTTTGCAGAAGGGGGGCTTGCCGGGCTTGCTGCTTGACGAGAGCGGCGGGGTTGGGGGGGGGCGCAGCCCCCCCCAGTTGCGCTTTCCCCTTTTTGCGCAGGCATGCGTGGCAGGCCCGTTGGCCCAGGATGGGGTTCGTTAGGTTTGCAGAAGGAAGGCTTGCTGATTGATGACAAGAGCGACGAGGCGAAGGGGCTTGCTGCTTGACGAGAGCGGGGGGGTTGGGGGGGGCGCAGCCCCCCCCAGTTGCGTGTTCGGTTAGGTTCCAGTTGTCGCTTTTGCCTTCGAAGCCGTCGAAGCCGGCCCCCTCCTTCCTCTCCGTGACTCTCGGTCCTCGTCTCCTTCGACGGCGTCGAAGCCCCCTTCGTCCTCACCTTCGACGCCTTCGAAGCCTTCGTCCTCACCTTCGAAGCCTTTGAAGCCTTCGTTCTCACCCTTCGAAGCCTTCGAAGGTGAAGGGTCGAAGGGGGGGAAGGGATTCCAACCCACTTTCCAGGCCTCGAAGCCTTCTTCGAAGCCTTTCAAGCCCTGCCCCCCTTCACTGTTAGAGTACATTGCTCTTTCACGTGCATTCCTCA